CCTTTTTGGGAGAGACGTTCCTGAATCCAATTCGTTACAGTGGATATGGCCTGCATGTTCCTAGCCAAACCTGGTGGAAGATGTGCTTGGAGGATGTGTGTGTGTATGTGTGTGCTTTTATTATTAGCATCGACCGCGCTAACCGGCTGACCAATGAAAAGACGTCAGTCNAAGAAAACTGCACGTGTCTACTAAGACTGTCACCCTGCACTCGACTTCGTTTAGGAGTGCTCTCTCTATCATTCTTCTTGCTTTCACCACTACTACCATCACTATTCTCATCGTCATTTTGGCAGCAACTTTTTTGCAGCTCTTCTTCTTGTCTGTCTCTCCGTTTTTTGTTGTGCGGGAGGTCCTCTGGCTCGAAGCTCTTGCTCTCTTCCACGCCATGATTCCCTTCTCAACTGCTCTCTTGGTCTCTGTCTTGTCCTCCTCTTGTTCCGGTTTGTGTGTGTGTTTTCGTCCTTTATTATGGCGACAGTCCCCCCATTTTTCGTGGTGAGACGTGTACAACACCTTTCAGCGTATGTATGTAGAGTACTACACTCAGTGTATTTGTCGTACAACTACAACCATCCAGGGCCACACAGGAACCAAGACTTTTTTCTTCTTTTTATTTATTTTCATGCCCCACCTTCCTCCTGCGGTGCGTGCTGAATTTCATTTTTATCGCGAGAAGGGTCCAGCCGTCCCTTTCCCTCGTCAACGGTGCTAACGTCAAAGTTTGGTACTCACGAGAGCTTTTTAGCTATATTTCGCGCTCACCAGCAAATTTCGTAAGTTATTCACCCCATGGGGGTTCGAAGTCACGACCTCTGCGACTATCGGATTATTACGAGGTTACCACCAGACCACCGGGGCGACCGGTAGAGTACGGGAAGGAAATTCCTCTTCCTGTAGGGTTGAAGCTCTCAGAGTTGTCCAGGATGAGGAAGTGGAATGATCGGGGATGGAAATATTTTTCTAGCCCAGAAGGCTATTGTTGTTGCAGACTTGAGTTGTGTTTTGGATTTTATTTTCTTGTGTTTTGGAGTTACTGAAATATCATGAAGACATGGCATAGTCACAAGCAGGGGGGCTGATAGATATACTTGTAGCAATGCCAAGTGGTTGGTACGGGATGTTCCCATGGAATGAGGTAGAGCGGAGTACCGGGTGATATGTATGTGTGGTACGTAGAATGGATTCCAGGGATGTACAAGGTTCCCCTGTTGTATACGGCGTCGCCCCCTCAACGGGGCTTGTGTGCGTGTATGTGGATGCAACTAACCACAACAAGTTTTTCTCCTCGGCACGAGCCCGCCGAGTTGCCGACACCCTATTCACTACACGTCTTGCGACAAGCTACCCCCAGTTCGGATTATCCTAACACAGATGACCTTGTTTCTGCTTGCGTTGTGAAGTGCCAAGATTGAACCAAGGGGGTGTACCACTTCCTCTCCGACCCGTGATGGTGACTCCTAGTCTCCGTTGTTACCTCGCATAGCTCGCAGAGGGAGTAGAGGACTCCAGAATATCTGTCGTTGATTTCTGTTGACTTGCGAACCCCTCGGGGCCAGTATATTTTGAGTGTACCTTTTTAGAGTAAGTCAACCTGCGACCACGGGAATCGACCGCGTCGAGTGTTGGATCAGTACGGACATAACAAGGTACTGGGTAGAGAGAGATCGGAACGGTTTTTGATGTAAAGACAACAAAACGAGCCCTGGCCACCGTCTGGGGGTGCCCGCCTAGTATTCTTCTGAATTTGAGGATAATAGGGTTCGCAACAAAGAGTAGCACAGACGGGCCCCAAACAAGGGGCTTCAGATTGTTCATCCTCGCTGGGGTGTGGAAGCAAAATGTGGCTAGCGAACACATGCGTACGTGGTGAACGAACAAGTGACATGGTGGTTGTCTCCGGGCCTCAAAAGCAGCAGCTGTTTGTGGCATTTCCGACCGCAATTTTATGGGTGTCTCACCACGTTCATGAAGAGAATCGCGACGGCCTCAAACGGTTGTTCTATTTTTCTCACCCAAAACGTTTTCGTGACCAGAACGTTTACCGGCAATTCCCCCCACATCATATCATCTGACTAGAATCCGAGCACCGTCAAGGCGAAATGCGAAAAACACTACTTCTGTAAAAGACATTTTCCCAACAAGCGTGAGCCATGCACCGCCGCTAAGATACTTGCGTGGCGCAAAGATCAAGATTGTGCATGATAGCATACCAATACTAAATAAAAGATTTGTTTGTTGTTCTTCACATTAAACTCGTGTCAGTTGCTAATCCCAAAACCTAGCAAAGACTCTGTCCGTGGTCACAAAAAATGCTAGAGACATCAGAACATCTAAAGAACACACACTATTATTATCTACAGAGTCGGGGAAGCTGTCCTATCTACGCATGAAACGAAGAAAGCGAATATCCTGTGGGGATACACGCCTTGCCCGTGCCCGCTCGTACTTGTAACCAATCCTCGACAGAATGCTACAGCGACGGCCAATTTACTATCTCTTCTTTCAGCCTGCCAGACGGACGCTCAGGACGAACTGAGCACAACCTGCATGCTTGCCTACAAAACCACCGGAAAGAGAGGAAGGGCAGTCGAGTGTACGAAGCAGACTTGAACTCAACATGGACAGAGGTCTAGACCAAATGTCAATACAACCACCTCAGTACTTGCCCCCAGTCCTAAAGGCCTATCCAAGCGAACAAGCGAACACGTGGGCCGTACAAATGCACCTGCTTACTACAATAAACGAGACAGAGAGCAACAGCTTTGTCGGTCTTGCAAGCTGAGGGCGAACCGAAGCGTAAGAAATCGTATGGAGGACATACAGCTAAGGCTTCATAAACGGTGCTTCGAAGTATGATGCAGGCTGCCACAGGCGCCATCTACCAAGCATGCTCGCCGCTGAAACTAAGGCGTAAATACAAGATACACCTCGCTTGAGACGTGCCCGGCGTCCACTCCATACGAAAAGGGCGAGCTCCAATGTCCTTTTCGTTTCAAAGCGCATACTCTGCCTGGAGAAACACCAGCGTCCGTGTTTACTACATGCCTCAAGTCGCCACGCACACGTGAAACTTCCGATGTCGGATCAAGTGCCCCCAGTACCACCGAATATTCCCGTGACACTGTTGTCGGGAGTCACAAGGCCATCACCTAACATAAACTTACCACCACCTTCAAGGCTGCATGGGTTTGCCATGAAACCTTGCCGAAAAACACAAGAAGCTGCATCTTGGCCCCCAAGACACGATCAAGAGGCCCACAGCGTGAAACTCTGATGAGGGCCAAGGGGCAGTGGAGCGCTTCAAGGCGCGCCCAGACTACTATACCTATCCGAGTCACATAAACCAATTACCACACGACGCGGCGCATGGCAGCGCACGCAGCACGCACATACAATCTGGCTTTCGAACTACAGGCCCCGTGGGTGGAACAAATCCGCTTCAGCCCGTCGTTCTCGACCAAGCCGCATGCCTCGACCTGTTCCTTCCTGCCCACGCCATGGACACACGCCGCGTACCCCTTCCTCCGATCAGAAAGCCAAGATCGAACCCATCCAGATATTAATCCCACTGCGATGGAAGGTGAGTGGTAGGAGTAGTGTCATCCAACCCACCTTGCAAATTTCGCGTTGTCCTATCATTCGGAAAGCTGACACGCTCGTTGCTCGAGCATACCTTTTCCACGCCGCAAGTACTTTGCAAGGCGGCGTTGCTTGATCCAGGTTTACTCGAGGTCCGACGCCCTTGAGAATGTGTCACGGAGACCGCGGCTTCAGACGAAGCAACGCCGTGGCGCTTGTCCATGTACCTTGGTGATGCGCCCAGGACGCCGTAGAGGGCCATGGTGTCCAGTGCAATGTGAATGTGCGGAAGCGTCCATGACACGACGATAAGCTGAGGCCTTGGACAGGAACAGACGGATCAAAAAGAAGTGCAGGGCACACACGCAATGGAGGGTGGGTGATGTGAAGGCAAAACTTTAGCTAATCTTGTCTCTTCGCACTCACCCAGCAAGAGCCGAGAACAGTGCAAGGTACTTTTTTGCATTTGATGGGGTGTATTTTTTGTTTTTTTTCTCCCATCATTGGACTCTGTCGTCTGCCCCTCTGGCCCCTATCCTCCACTTCTACTAGCTAGACGACCCAACCGGGGTCACATAGGAGGGGAGGGCTGGACCCCCTCCTGCGGTTCCTGCCTGAGGTAATTTTATCGCGAGAAGGATACAGCAATCCCTTCCCTCGCGGCCTACGAAGTCGATTATGGTTTACTAACAACGAGCTTTGCAGCGCGTCGCGTTCATCCTAGACCAGGATTAATTTAGTGAGAAAAAAACTCACTCTGCCGGGACTCGAACCCATGACCTGGCCCTTAGCAGGCTGCGAAGCTACCCACTAGACCACCGGGGCGACCGATGTATATGTACCTAAGCGGTACATGTACTGCTCCCGTCACGAAAGGAAGACAAAGTAAATGGCAACGTAGCCAATCATAGTGACCACCGAATAGACCATTCGCTGTCAGGGGCAGGTAGCGGAAAATTCATCGCTCCTGACGCCATCAGTTCATCGCCACCCACGACGAGACAGGCAACGAACAAAAAATTCCATTCAAGAACGAGTTTTGTTCAAGACGATACAAAACCATTGTAACAAGACGTCCCCGCATGTGCTATTTTCGTGCGTGGAGTAGAGTGAAAGTAGACGTTACATGGGACGCACTTAGTATGTATCTCGAGGGTATGTGGTGAGAGGCTTTGGATATTAGTGCGGAGTCCCCGTTTCCTGTCAAAACTCCTCCTCTCTCTCTCCCCTTCGTGTCTTCTCTCTTGCAAGCTAATACACACAGTCAAACAGCAACCCCAAGTCCGCCCACCCACACCAACGCTAGAGCTCACGAGCAATTCAACCCAATGGCAAAAGAAATTGAGGAGACCAGGAGCAGCTGCTGGGCATGCTAGGCCTTGTGGCTGTACAACAACAACAATATTCATTTAGCGTAAATCGTCGTGAGCATTGAATTCCGTCCGTGGTTGCGCTCGGCACGGCACGCTGCCCTTCGATGATCGCCGACGGCATATAGCGTCAGTCTTGCCATATGCGCGAGAATGATGTATAGCTGTCATGCGAGTGAAGTGCCTTGCACCAGACATGCACTGTGCAAAGGTCTCCCCGCCTCTTCCCGTGCATTGTGGTTCGTTAGGTGTGCATGCGTCATTCACGGACCTAGAGAACAGGGGCTGAGTAGCGTTCTTGGTCTCCCACTACTGTAGGGAAAAAGGATGCACGTTGTAGCCAGGCCAACTCATGCCATGTAAGACGTCACAGAACATGTTCGCAATCCTCCTTTGCCTTGATGGCGTGGTTCCATTAAAAGGTTCTACGCGCGATAGGGTGCGGCGAAAATTACGGCACACGTTTCGTGATACATGGAATACTCTCACCATAGGCGGCCTATGCCCAACAGTTGTTCCCCGAATTCCCCAACTTTCTATCTCTAGTCATGATGGCGGTACGGTCACTCACTCCTCTCGATCGCCGATCAGGTAGATCACGCCGCAAATGCCGAGAATCAGATTCACGCCCGTGGCGATGAGGGTGAGACCGAAGTAGTAGCGGATGCGGGCGTGCGTCTTCCAGCATTCCTTGATCTCCGTCATCCGGAACAGCAGTAGCCAGGCCACGATGACGAACATGCAGATGCCGACGAAGAACTCGAGATAAAAGCGAGAGACTGTGATCCAGTCACTGCCTCGCTGCATTGATCAACCATCCACCGATAGCACGACAACGGAGCCACCGACCCAAAACGTGAGACCGAACCAAGCGTGCCCTCCAACGCAGCGAAAGTCATTTTGGAGTTGAGGGATTTGACCAAGGAAAACACGCAAGCGCCAGGTAGGCACCCATATGTCGATTCGAGGGTCTCCCGCGACACAGACTACTATTGATGCAATGGCCATTGCAGATGAACACCGACGCAACACATGTTGCTGACAGAAAAATGGAGCAAATTTTGAGGGTCGTCCAACCTGGTTTTCTGTTTCCGGGAAGAAGCCCGTGCCGGAAAGGATGATGAAGTCCCAGAAGGGCGCGGCGGCGGCGGCCGCTCCGATGGAAATCACGAGGGACACCATGATCAGCAAGGGCGAGCTGAGGCTGTTGACACCAGGCTGTTGATCTCCATGAGACTGCAGTTGTGCCGTGTCCCCAACAGTCGGGAGAACAAGGGACAGAAGGCCGCATACCGAGGTACCAGACAAAGGCAACAAGGAACAGATACCATGGGGGGCAGAAGGGCTCGTGTTGTTGATAGATTCTGACTATAAAACCGTGAGCAGAGGCCTAGAACGGTACGTGGCTGTGCGGCGTCAAGGTCTGTTGGTGTTCGTAGTGTCAGAGTACGACGTACCGAGTCCTGATTTCTGGGGACTTATCCAAGTGAGCCTGCGAACGGTTGGATGTGACAGAAGATGGAGGCAGCGTCACAAATGCTGCCCATCATATTTGGGCAATTGGGACGTGTACCTAACAAGATAGATCCACGAAAGTCATATTCCGACCTAAAATGACTGAGCTGGTGGTTGACGAGTGTGTCGTAACGGCATAACGGAAATAGCGTAGCTCGAATCAGAAAAGCGACCCTGCCGAAAATACGTGCCATGCAGGACAACCACGCACAAGAAAAGCGGTCCACAGAGATAAAAAAGTTGTCACTTGGAACAAGAGTCACACACAAGCAAGAACAAGGGCAACGGATAAACCCGCGATTTGTCTGCTACAGGTAGTAACTGACCATGACGACGAGGGCGAGGTTGATGCAGATGGCGAGGTTGGTCGTGGCGAGCATGTTCACGGACGCTAGTTCCAGGAACTTGAACGTTTTGATGAGCTTAATGAGGTTGGCTCCGGCCCAGCAGACTGATATCATGGTCGCTTGCATCAAAATCAGAAGCTGATAAAGCAGGCCACTGGTTCGTAGAGAGAGAGGAAACATCCCGCCGTAAGCACCAGTGGGATTTCAACGGTGGCACAGGATGAGGGGGGGGGTGGTCTTCGTCAAGGTGTGGGATACGAAAACAAAGCGCTCCAGATGGCAGTATCATGACGACTTCCCGTCATTCAACAATTACATGGTCTATCAGCTCGGCTGGGAACCGAAAATCGACACGTTACAATATAGCGTACCGATGGCGGCCAACAAACAACATTACTTCATACTTTAGGCACGTCTACAATGGCCAGGGAGGGATTCTCAAAATGGCTTCAAGAGTCGAGCTGAGGTTTAAAGTGGAGCCCATCATCTGTACAGCAGCGACACTTCACAGAAGTTGTTATATAGCTGACGAGATACGGTGAGCGTGAGCGGACTTCAGACATTCGCGTTCCATTGCTTCAAGCGGCAATACATCCAACAGTACTTCATTTCCCGGCGACGAATCGAACAGGTGCAGGCAAAGTGCAGGTACGACAACAGAACCCATCCACTCGTGCACATCCAGATAGTGTAGATGGATTGAAACAAGCCTGGGGTCACCGGGTGTCAGTAACACGTCTAAGCAGTCTCTAAGGCCCAGATGTCATGCAGGCTTTGGACAACAGTAAAGCAGCACGCCTCAGCGAAAGGTTTCAGCAATCGCGAAACCCGGCGATTTCTAAATTAATGTTTTCGCCTGGTTTCCGCATAAAATCTGGGGAACTCTGTCATGACGTGCATGTCTCCAACCCAAAAAAAAAGAGATCACCCTCCGCTGCGGACCTACATTTTCGATTTTGATTTGTGGGCCTAGACCATGCACCGACTACACACGCAGTGGATTATTGCGCGCAACCCGGTCGCCCCGGTGGTCTAGTGGTATCCTCGTAATCCGATAGTCGCATAGGTCGTGAGTTCGAATCCCCATGGGGTGAAAAATTTACGAAATGTGAGGGTGAAACCGAAATATAGCTGACAAACTCTCGTGAGTACCAAACTTCGACGTTAGCACCGTTGACGAGGGAAAGGGACGGCTGGACCCTTCTCACGATCAAAATAAAATTCAGCACGCACCGCAGGAGGAAGGTGGCGCATGAAAAGAAATATAAAGTAGAATAAAGCCCTGGTGTTTACCCCCCTCCTGTGTGACCCTGGATGGTTGTAGTTGTACGAAAAAACACACTGAGAAGTGTAGTACTCTTCATACGCTGAAAAATGTAGTACACGTCTCACCACGAAAAATGGGGGGACTGTCGCCACATATAACGAGAAAAAGGTATCCAAGAGCCCGAAGCGGTACACCTGAAAATCCCTGCAGCACGTATGCGTGCCCAAAAACTGAACTGCACGTCCGTCCCACCGTTCGACTACAGTAGCATCACCCCCTCCCTGTCCCACTCTATACCAAAACGGAAGATTGCCGACTACAGCATACTGCTGTCTGAAGTGCTGTCTGTACAAAAACACCATGGTAGGCATGGAACAAGCAGCTGGCGGGGCACAAAGCTGCTGTCTGAAGTGCTGTCTGTACAAAAACACCATGGTAGGCATGGAACAAGCAGCTGGCGGGGCACAAAGCTGCTGTCTGAAGTGCTGTCAGAATGTGTCTGCGACCGTACAGTGAAAAAGAACAACCAACCAAAGCCATCATAGCAGCAGTTCACCCGAATCTCTCCCGATCGCCTGTGTAGGCACTGCACTGCAGTGAAAAATATCGACACTAGCTAAGGATCGTTCCACATTGAAGGGGTCTTCCACGATCAGGCACAAAACCAATGCACCCGGGTTAGCCACGCCATCTCTGACGGGTCTCT